AAGAATGCTCTAGAAAGCAAAATTGGCCAAATGGAAAAGGAAGCCCAAAAGATTACTGAAGAAAATACTTCCTTAAAAATTAGAATAGAGCAATTGGAAGTTAGTGACTTTATGAGAAATCAAGACACTGTAAAACAAATCCAAAAGAATGAAAAATTAGGAAACAATGTGAAATTTCTCATTGGAAAAACAACTGACCTGGAAAATAGATCCAGGAGAGAGAATTTAAAAATTATTGGACTATCTGAAAGCCATGATCATTAAAAGAGCCTAGACAGCATCTTTCAAGAAATGATCAAGGAAAACTGTCCTGATATTTTAGAACCAGAGGGCAAAATAGAAATTGAAAGAATCCACCAATCTCTTCCTGAAAGAGATCCCCAAAGGAAAACTCCTAGGAATATTGTAGCCAAATTCCAGAGTTCCCAGGTCAAGGAGAAAATATTATAAGCAGCCAGAAGGAAACAATTCAAGTATTGTGGAAACACAATCAGGACAACACAAGATTTAGCAGCTTCTACACTAAGGGACCGCAGGGCATGGGATATAACATTCTGGAGGGCAAAGGACATTGGATTACAACCAAGAATCACCTACCCAGCAAAACTGAGTATAATCCTTCAGGGGAAAAATGGTCATTCAGTGAAATACATGACTTTCAAGGATTCTTGATGAAAAGACCAGAGTTGAATAGAAAATTTGACTTTCCAATACAAGACTCAAGTGGAAAATGAAGAGGTAAACAGGAAAGAGAAATCATAAGAGACTTATTAAGGTTGAACTGTTTACATTCCTGCATGGAAAGATGATATTTGTAACTCATGAGACCTTTGTCAGTATTAGGGTAATTGGACGGAAAAATTATATGTATGTACACAGATAGATACAGAGATAGATAGATAGATAGATAGATAGAGGGCACAGGGTGAGTTGAAGATGAAGGGGTCATATCTGGAGAATAAAATTAAGGGGTGAGAGGATTATAGAGAGAAGGAGAAAGGGAGACGAAGAATGGGGTAAATTATCTCACAAAAAAAACAAAACAGAAAAGAAAAAGCTCTTACAGTGGAGGGGAAATAGGGGAAGGTGAGAGGGAATGAGCGAATCTTATTCTCATAGGATTTGCCTTAAGGAGGGAATAACATACACACTCAATTGGGTATGGAAATCTATCTTACCCTGCGGGAAAATAGGAGAGGAAGGGGACAAGAGAGCAGGAGGATGATAGAGGGGAGGGTAGATTAGGGAAGGGGGTAATCAGAAGCAAATACTTCTAAAGAGGGACAGGGTCAAAAGAGAGAATAGAATAAATGGGGGGGGAGGGCGGGATAGGATTAAGGGAAATATACTTAGCTTTTCACAACATGACTACTATGGAAGTGTTTTGCATGACTGCCCATGTATAAGCTGTATCGAGCTGTTTGCCTTATCAATGAGGGTGGGTGGGGAGGGGGAAAGGGAGAAAATCTGGAACCCAAAGTTTTAAAAACAAAAGTTAAAAAAAAATTGTTTTCACATGCAACTGGGAAATAAGATATACAGAAAATAGGGTACAGAAATCTATCCTATCCTACCGGAAAATTGAAGAGTAAGGGGATAAGAGAAAGGGGGGCAGAGATGGAAGGAAGGGCAGATTAGGAGAAGGGGTATTTAGAATGCATGCCATCTTGGGGTGGGGGGAGGGATGAGATGGGGAGAAAATTTGGAACTCAAAATCTTGTGGAAGTGAATGCTGAAAACTAAAAATAAATAAATTAATTAAAATATTAAAAAAAAGAAAATAGAAAACTAAGTAGTATATAATAGAATATTATACACAGTTCTCTTTTTCTGTTCTATTCTGTTCTATGGAAACAATCATTTTATTTGATGTTTGTTAGGCTCAGAATAAAAAAAATGAAGACAAAAAAAAAGAATGGGTAGGCTTTAAATAGATAAAACTGGGGAAGGTTTCTCCATCTATAATTCTAAGGTCTATAATATGGATAATTTGATGATGGCAATTTAAGCAGATCTGATTGTCTGGAATGACTCAGTGAGTGTCCTTCTGTATGAAAATCACAAAGAATTACTACACGGCTTCAGAATTCAGTCTGGTTTTCTCTCTCTATCAGAGTATTAACTCCAAAGTATTACTTGTGGAATGGGTAAAAATCTTCTAGTGACCATTATACAAAGAAGTTTGTGAAAACTTGCAACATAGCAACTTGCTTGATATGTGTATTTCTGTAACTGATGTATTTTCTTAATTTTGCTTTGTGCACTTAACTAAGTTATTTGTTGTATGCACCAGGTAACCTGGAAGTTAACCCTTGGGTGTTAACTGATGTCAGTGTGGTATGGCCTTTCTTACCACTACTAAAGTAACTTTGCTGGGAGAGACTAGATAATAAAAAGATTGAAATCTTGTATTTGAGGGAATGTTTCCTGAAACCAAGGCAGTTTAGTAACAGATGATAATAAAACTAGATTTAAGTAAGGGTTTTTTCATTTATTCCCCTTTCCTAATAAAATGTGTTCTAAAACACACTTATAGACTGAGAACTTAAATGTGTTTGCCTTTGAGGGGCTGGGCTTCCATGATGATCCAATTATTAACACCACTAAAATTGGAGGAAAGCTGAATGGTGAAAATGAGGCTCGGTATATGGAATAGATGTAATTGTTACCAAATTTTTCTTTACATTAAGCATTAATTTGTTGCCTCTTTGCAATTTCAGTTCATTGCTACTAGTTCTGCCCTCTTGGACAAAGCAAAAGAGGCTTAATACTGAATAGGGAGTAGGAGAGAGTACCCAGGAGGAGATGCTATTCGACAATGTAAAGATACTGTAGCGGTCAAGAAGATTGAGGACTGGAAAAGAATACCATCAGACCTTAGGAGAAAACCTTTTCAGTTGAGTGGTGAGATAAAAAGCCAAATTTTGGAGGTTTTAAAAGAGTAAAGAATACTGGAAGTATAGGCAACAGTTGCAGACAACTTTTTCAAGAACTTTGGCTAAGTAAGGACACAGAAATAAAAGGGGTTATTGAATCTAGTGAGTGTTTTTAGTCCTCATAAAGCTTTTTATAAAACCACTGGAAGGAGATTCTTAGGAAGTTTAAACATTTGGGGTATCTGGGTGGTGCAGTGGATACAGCACTGGCCCTGGAGTCAGGAAGATTCTTCTTCTTGAGTTCAAATCTGGCCTCTGACACTTAATAGCTATGTGACCCTGGGCAAGTCACTTAACCGCCATTGCTTCAAAAAAAAAAAAAAAAAGGAAGAAGAAAAAGAAAATTTAAATACTCGTCGAGTTACATACATTGAATTTACATGACAGACGGACTGTCAGTCAGTTATATACTTTTTCCCCCTTTCCCTCACCTTACAGAAACAGGGAAGTTAGATGGTAGATTTTTTTTTTCAGGGAGGGTAAGTGGTGGCTGGTAAATAAGTTATCTTTGAACATATGTCTATGGGACATGCAGTTGGAAATGTTTAATAAGCCACTGGTGATAAAGGATTGGAGTTCAAGAGAGAGACTTGGACTAAGTACCTTTAGGAGATATCTGCAAAGACATAATTGAGCCCAGGGGAGCTAATGAGATAACTGAGAGGATCTTTGTATGTGTGACAAGGATTATATGAAATGGAGCCAATTAAGGTATGAAAGATATAGTGAAAGAAGAAATACAGAATATAAACAATTCACCAGAAGTGAAGATGGGGCTGTGGGGAAGAGAAATCCGACTATTTTCCATGCCTGCTACCACATGGCACCTTACATCAGAAGAGCTTAGTTACTGTCCAAACTAGCCTTAAGACAGGTGAGTGAAAGGGGAAGAAAGTATGCAACTGGAAAACAGTCCATCTGTCACAGAAATTCAATGCATATAATTTCAAGAGCGACTAAATTTCCTAAGAATCTCCTTCTAGTGCTTTTACTAAAAGCTTTATGAGTATTAGAATAGAAGAAAGACAGCTTGAAACAATATACTGCTTTTTTAAAAATATATTTTCCTTCTTATTGTGATGAGACAAAAGCACACCCTATAACAAGTATAATATGAATTATAAAGTGACTAATGCAAGGTGTCTTCTCAAAATTACTATTAATCTAAATGCCTACTATGTAAAAGGCTAGAGGATAGGCATACAAAAACAAAAATAAAACTTAAGGGGCTTATGTTTTATCAATAAGCTAAAAATATTCATATATATTATATGCATATTCTCTATTTACATAGCTATACATTAGTACTGGACATATGCTTTCACTGATATAGGGAATTTACAAGTGAGGAAACTCCCTCTACTAATGCATGTCCTCTGCAGCTTAGAATCTTAGAGAGCTGCAGAAAGCCCTGACAAGTAAAGTAATCTGCCCAGGTAACACACATACTTTCAGAGTTGGGAAATGAACCCAGGCCAGGCCTCATCCCCCCTATCCTAAATGTCTATTCTCTATCCTTATCCCTATCCCTAAATAGCAGAGTGGCAGGGCACTCAGAGTCAGGAATACTTGAGCTCAAAGCCTTTGACATCTGTGAGCTGTAGGTCCCTAAACCTCCGAGAGCCAATTCTCTCCAAGTTGTAGAGAAGACAATGATCTGTATTAATAAGGTAGTTTTTCCCTCACCATGAGCACTCACATATCTAATTCCTCCCAAAATATGCTTTATAAATAACGTGATAGTTTTTGCAAAGATTTAGAAAAATGAACATACTTTAGACTTGCCAAGAAAAAAGGTTTAAAAATCTGAAATTTGTACAGTTATGAACATACCCAAATTTGAAAACTGTGCATGATTATTTATTCTAGGTGTTTTGTCTCTGGTTATTAAGGAACACTTTATGAGATTTAAGAAAAAAATACATAAGGAATTATAAATATTTTAATGGGAAAAGGAATGGAATTCAATAATGAGATTAGGACATGTAGATTTAATGAACAATGATTAAAATTTCAGAGTATGGGTTCCACCCCCCCTCCCCCCCGCCCAGCAAAATCCCTTACCCGAAGCCCATGGAAACGAGGATTGCTGTAGAAGAGCTTCATCTGCTCAGATGGAAGTGGTCCTAGCACCTTCTGAATAGTAAAAAGTTGGTCAATTTCACTTTCTCCAGGAAATAAAGGTTGCCCATCACTAAGCTCCCCAAGAATACAGCCCACAGACCACATATCTACAGATTTTCCATAGGGAGCTCTGAAAAGCAAAAGGAATAATTATCACACCAATTAAAGAAATAATACATATTTCCAAATTGTTTTGTTTAAAAAATGAAAGATTAGTATTTTAAAGCATTTCTAAGCATTCAAGGTAATAGAAAAGTGCCAAGTAGAGTGAGAATGCCTATATGGTAAGGCTGAAGTAGAAAATTACTGAAATTCATTTTTATCATACATTACATAAGAACACTAATGTATATGGCCACTTAAAATACAGATATTCTGTGATCTGTTTATTTAGTTAGTAATTCTCAATGGTTCAATTCAATTAATAGATACTTACTGAATGGTTATCATGTGCAAGACAATTGTGCTGGGTGCTAGTACTTAAAAGACAAAAAATGAAATCAATCTATCCTCCAATGACCTTACATTCTACTGATTTGAAAACTGTTCATATTTATATTTTAAAATCTTAAAGGCTTATTATAGTCTGATAAAAGGTATTTAACCTTATCTGTGTTGAAGACAGGTACATTTTGCTTCAGTTAACATCTCATTCATCTTACATTGCTGGGAAATTAGTGTTCCATCTATTTTCCAGATAAAAGAAGTTTATCCCATGCAAGCACTAAACATGTTTTCATTTTCAACCTTCTCATGGGGAAATATGTCTACTTTCCTGGCTTTAAAATGAAATGTAATTTAAATGCTATTCATGACACTGCAGGGCTATCATTAGGGACAGCAATGCTTCCATTGTTTTATTAAATTATTATGTATTAATATCATTTAATAATTAATTTAATATTAATCTATTAAATATTTTATTTGGGAATACTGAGAAATTTGGGCTGTCTGTCCTTATACTAAGTGATCCCAGACTATAGTCTTGCTCTGAGTCTGCCATCCTGCCAACATGCTAGCTGTAAGTTAACATTTCAGTTCTTAGCACTGCCCCCAACCTCCCCACCTCCACCAGTTTTACTCAGCTGTTTTAAACATGATTCCAGCTCCTCCTCTAGCTAGAGATTAGCTCCATGTCCCTTCCTTCAGGTAAAGTACATGGATTCTGTGATAGATATTTTCTCTAAGGTCTTTTTTGCTTTAAGGTTCATAACTGTGTTCTAGATGGCTTAGATTATCAAAATGTTCATCATTAGACAGAGAGAAAACCTTCCTGTTAGATAGGTGAGACATATTTGGGATTTTTCAAGTACATAAAATGTAATTACAATTTTTAAATCTACATGAATGCCTAGAAGCAAAAAGCTTGGTACTTGTTTTAAACCACTTGAGTTTGTCAAACCTTCCCTAGAAGACAATGAAAAACACACAAGTCCTTAAAAAATCATCATTGCTTTAATTTCGAACAAAAGTAATTTAAGCTTTAAAAAAGGAAAACTACAATGAGGTATTTGAAAAAATTGAGAGAATGTCTGAAGAATGTCACAATAAACAGAATTTTAATATAATTTCAACACATAACACAAATATAAAACATCTTAAATGATGACCATAAAATTGCTTTCAGAAACTGAACTATTAATATTTCAGTGGCAGCAGAAGTAATGGCTGATAGGAGGGAGAGAAGGGAAAGAAGAACAATCTTTCCTTTATCTCTGAATTAGAAGATGACTATATGAGGGAAACAAAATAGCTCGAGCAGGGGGAAAACTGCCTGATACATAGGCAGAAGTATTTATGAGGCAGACTGAGTTGAGTAGATTATACTATCAGACATTTTTTTAATATGAGGGGTGAAGTTTCCAAAATCCTGTATTAGTATACAACTATGTGCTTAATATGTACATAACTCCTGTCAAGTTTTTTAAAAGTCTCTTTAATAAACAAAATCCTATTGAATTAAAAATGTGACGTTCTCATCTGATTTAAAGAAATGTCCTATTTATCCCATGTCAACAGGCTAGGAACACAAGCATCTATCTGAAGCAAATAAATAGGACAATATCTTACTTGCCACACCAGGAAGAATTCATCATAAGGCCTGAGAGATATCTATCTATCTATCTATGATGAATTCTTCTAGTAGCAAATAATGTTATAATGAGGTTTCGGTATATCCAGATTCTCTTTAGGATAACAAAAAGGGGGTCAGGACCATATATACTAAAATATATACCAGAAGTTCTTTTTTTCAAGGCCTGAGAAGTACTGACAGGGCACTGAACAAGGGGAACTACTGAAAGAAATGCCAGCACGCTGTGGGCAGCGCTGACTACCCACAGTACTGGGCTAATGAGCACAGTGAACATTTTCTTTAAAAAAATCAGAACATATTATGGTCAAATACCTCTACCTTGCTGCCACGATGGCATGGGGTATGATAGTGTACATGGCACAACAGTAGGAGGTCTTATTACTGCAAATGTTTCTGTTAATGTTCAGTGACCAAGTATGTATCATCCATATGAAGAAAAAGATAAACAATATGAACTAAGATATATTTATGTTTTGTAGCTTTTAATCTTTTGCTATGTATATTTTTACCTTATTGTTTATTACCTTGTTCTACTCAGCTATTATTTGCCTGACCTTGGAATTTCTAGCATATTTTGATGGTTTGAAGGGCTAAAGGACAAACTATTTGAAATGAGGGCTGTGCCATACTTTCTGACACAAATGAGCCCTTATATTATGCAATATAGTTTTTGTACATGATTTGGTTTCATGCCTTTTTAGAGCTAACAAGAAGCAAGACAACATTTTAACCCAAGCTATTTATCCCATATCTAACTGGGCAACCATTCATAAGCTCACAAATAATAACTCAGAAACAATCAAAATCCATATGCCTAATCAACTCAAGCAATGCTTAGTTTTCTTAATGGATCATAATATACGATCATGGGCCTTAGGGGAAATTATTACTTACCCAAGTAATAGCTCAGGAGAACGGTACCACCTGGTGGCCACATACTCTGTATAATTAGCATTGTTGCCTTCTGATAGATTTCGAGCAAAACCTAAAAGCAAAAAAGTTAATTGAGAAAGTATAATTCTTTAATTTTAGTATAAACCCAGAATGCTTATGGGATTTTTATATGAGTATCTATAATAATAGTGATTAATATGAGAAGCAGTACGCAGAATACTGAACACAGAACTGAGATTGGTTGAAATTCTGCCTCAGTGATTTAGTGGTTCCAGTATACATGAAAACAGAGAAGACACCTGAATCCTCGGAACCTTAACTTTTTCATCTGCAAAATGGGGATAATGCTTCAACTACCTACCTCACAGGATTGTTATGAGAAAAGTGTTTTGCACACTTTAAACTGATATATAAATGTGAACGTATTACATAACGTGCTTTTGCTTGAATAGTCTACCCCTGAAGAGTAAATCTTAAAATCAATTAGATAGGGAGAAACAGAAGCAAAAGAAAGCAATTGTCAAACTCAAGTACATAAATTACTATGTGGAAGGGCTTTTTTTTTTTAAACAAAAACTTCTTGAAAACAAATAAGCAGTTTGACAGAAATTAAGTTTAAACCAAAATCTTTTAACATATAACACATACTAAACTCAAAATGGACATGTATCATAAAAAAAATTAAAAGAGAGCAAAATCAGGACACTTCACAATCATGGTTGGGGGAGAATCCATGTTTAAAATACATAAACTTTCATTTAAAAAAACTAATAGCTTTTGTTTTAATTTTACTTTCATTTCCAAAAATAGCCCTTTCTTCCCCTAGCGCACAGCAAGTCATCCCTAGTAACAAAAAATTTAAAAAGGAAAAAAAAAAGCAGTTCAGCAAAACCCACCAACATATTAAGCGAGTCTGAAAGTATATTCAATATTCCAAAGCCACAAGGCCCCATTTCTGCAAAGAAGGGGGAAAAGTTCATATTTGCAATGATTCTCCAGGAACTAGCTTACTGGTGATCATAACTGTATATACTGTTTAGTTCCTTTTTTTTTTAATTGTTGTCCTTGTTCTTCCCATTTGTTACTGTAGTAGTATTTCATTTTTCTATGTTTCTCTGAATTTTTCATATTTAGTTTTCATATTCAGCATTTCTTTCAGGAGTTAGACTCCATTTCAATTACATTACCACAGTTTGTTCAGTCATTCCAAAATTGATAAGACATATACTTTGTCTCTAATTCTTCTATTATAAATATTTTGGGATTCATGGGACCTTTTTTTCTGTTTTTGGCCTCCTTGTCATGTATACGCGCATACATGCAGTAATGGGATTTTCAGGTAGTGTTATGGCTATTTTAGTCACTATTTTTTGAATCATTCCAAATTGTTTTCCAAAATGGAAGCATAAAGCATATAAATATGAGCTTATGTGCAACAGTGCCTGTTCCTATAACCCCTCTAAACACTTTCCATTTTTTTGTAATTTTTTGTGAATCTATTGGATTTGCATTTCTCTTATTATTAGTAATATGGAACAATCTTTCATATGATGGTTATGGTAAGCCAGATCTCAAACTAATCCAAAAAACAAGGGAAAGGAATCATATAACATATATTTATAGCAGCCATTTTTGTTCTGGCAAAGAATTGGAAACTGAGGTGATGCTCATCAATTGGGCTAGTTATGATATATGAATGTGAAAGAATACTATTGTGCTGTAAGAAGTGATGAAGGGGATGGTTTCAGAAAAACCTAGAAAGACTTGTGTGAACTGTTGCAAAGTGAAGTAACCAGAACCAGAACAATTTATACAATAACAGTAATAAAGATAATCAACTGTGAAAGACTTAGCTACTCTGAGCAATACAATGATCCACCACAATTTCAAAAGACTCATGATGAAACATGCTATCCTCTTCCATATAAAAGACTGATGGACTTAGCAAACTGAAGTTAAAAAAAAAAAAAGCTAACACGGAAATATTTTTTGCACTACTTCATATGTATAGTGCGTGGATATTGTATTTCTTGCTTTCTCAATCGGCAGGAAGAGGAAAGAATTTGCAACTGAAAATAAAATAGAAAAAAAAAAGACGACCTGGGTTCAAATTCAGCTTTTGAGACTTATCGGTTGTGTAACCTTTAGTAAGTAGTTACCTTCTCTCAGCCTCAGTTTCGATATCTGTAAAGTGGGAATATAAATTCAACAACATCATAGGCTTTTTCTGAGAGTCAAATTAGACATTCTATGTATAATTTCTAAAACTTAAAGTGCTATATAAATGTTAGTTGTTTCTGTTACTTAAAAAAAGTATGAGAGTCAGGGGAAAAAAATGTAAAGATTACTAAAAGAAGTCAATCTCTGAATAAATGAAAAACTAATGATGTTACTGGAAAACAGATGATGAAACATGCCAAGTTCCTTGAAGCAGAAAGCAAGGGGTCTTCTAGGGTTGAATGTAATCACTGTTTCAGGTGTTTTTGCTTGTTTTTATTTGTAACAATAGAATATTCAATGGGAGATGTGGTCCCTTCCAGATGTGATTGTGATGTCAAGACTAAAGGCAGAGCTAAATTATATTCTTAAAAATACAAATACCAGGCTATTCTTCAAAAATGTGTGACTTCATTGGCGTATTCTTCCCACAAATGACATAGGAGTTTGTAGATGGCCTTTATAAATTGCCAGGCTTAAAAAGCTCATTACCTATTGGCCAATCTTCTAGTGATGACCCTTTTCCCAAACATAGGTAGGGTGATCCTTCGACAACAGACTTGCAAGTCTATCACAGGTCACACCCTCTACCCTTTTCCAGCTTGCTAGAATTCCAAATTCCAAAGAATACTACTGTAGCAGTTTGGGTTATTCGCCTACACCAAAAAAATCTGTTTTTGAAGTCTATATCATGCCTTTGTAAGCTTCTGAAATATAGATTTTAGCTGCCAGTAACCTCTAGAAACAGGAGTGTTTATATAATGCAGAGCCTTAGAAGTTAAATTAGAATTTCAATATTAATTTTGAAAAATCTCATATTAGGGTGGTAAAGAGCCCATGTCAGTAGGAATGCTGGGAGTAATTATAATCATTTTGTAAGAATTGATAGACTATAAGAGAACTGCAACTAGTATATGAGATAAAGATAAATTTCAGATTGTAGTTATTTAATTATATTTTTAAGAGAAAATTAAGATTATTTTTGCACAAATCTTATCCATGCTACATATAACAGAAAGCTGAAAGGTAAAATGTAATTTTAACAAATATCATCTGCCACGCTTATTTTACATAATTGAAACTATTTCCTTATCCTGTTTGCTGATATGGATTTAAATTTCATTTTGAAAGATTAAACTTTGCTTTTTTTAAGTTTTTTGCTACTTAGCACTCGGTAAGATATTGTCCTTTTACTATTTTTTAGGTTCTGTTACCTGCACTTTGGTTGTCCATGCAATGATTAATAAAATTTTATGTATCTTTTAAAATGCTTAGCACAATATTTCGTGGTATTTTAAACTGAAAATATTTTGGTAATCACTGGATCTTATACACAGAGCATCTATAGCAGTTGTAATCTCTGCTACATAATTTAGTGCTTAATTACATACTATTATATTGTTTAGTATTGTCTTGTATCTCCCTTTTTCTTGTCTCTCCAACTCACTTAAAAGCTTTTTGGCATCAAAATATCATATTATATGTTATAGATTTCTATATCCCTGATAGTACCTAGCATAGATTCTTGCTGATTGTTACAGATGTTTAATTATTGACATTTGGGCTGGTAAAGGTTAAAAAATGATAGGCCACCTGGCAGCTCAAAGTGAAGACAAAGTGAAGTGACAGATTACTTTTTTTAAAGAGTTTAAAAGAAATTTTCAACTTAAACACTAAACAAGATAAGCATTCCCATTCCCATTCCCATATATAAACAGGACTGAAAAAGAGGAATGTACATGCAGTCATGAATCTCTATTACACAGTTTATTTTTTCATTTTAAGTATATAACAAATTCAATATATTATTTTCAAAGCTATTGGGGTATTATTTTATGGAGTCTTCAGATTTCATTACCTAGTAAAGTTCCAAAGTTTTGATTATTACTTACTCATTTATATTATCGGTTTTGTTTGCCTTAGAACGCTCTACCAAGCAGCACACCACACCACTGAAGTTTATTACCACTCTAAGTTTAGCTGACCTGGTCATTTTATAGGTAGTACCCATGGTGCAGGGGTCAACTGACTGGTACTGGTGAGGGGTAATGTAAATTTAAGGTCACCAGCTCTATTTCTGAGAGGTTAAGAACTAGGGGACAGCAATTATACAATCAGGCAGCCTGGGCTGGTCACTGTGAAGCCAGGTTCTAAAGCTCTTAATCTAAGGCCCAGGTTAAAAAATTAAAAATTGGAGCATCTAAAGTAGAATGTAAAATGATCCTAAGACTTGGGACCCAGTCTCTTCCTCATTATTGATATGGTGCAAGTAATTTCGATCATAGCTATTCTGTGTTATCTACCCGTTAAAATAAGCATTCTTTACAAAAAAATTTATATTTGATAAAGAGACACATAAAATACCAACAACATATTTTGAGCCATGTTAAATTTTATTTGGACAATCTCAACTGCATTCAAATGCATTTATAAGACGACAAAGTTCCTTCTTAGAGGCTATAGCTATGGCACTCACTAAACATTTGCATACTTACTGTCCTTTCCCAACCCATTTTCCTAATGTTTGCAAATAGTTATCGCCAGAGTACCACCTGTTTTATACCAATAAGTAAAAGGACCATAAAGTAAACTCCCATTTTAAGACCATGTGAGTATAAAAGAGGAAAAACAGGATCTTATCTGTACTACAGACCAAATAATGATCTTTAAAGGTTTATGAAGCATCAAAAGCCCTTAGTGCTGAAATAAATTCAGGTGATCATTCTAAGCTGTGTTACCTATAGCCAGAGTTTCAACTAATAAGAAAGGATTTGAAGAGTAAAAGGAGCTTGAGCAAGTCAAACATTTTATACACACACACACACACACACACACACACATGTGTGTGTATATATATGTATGTATATATATATAAATGTATTTCCAAATAAAGATTGTAATGAAAAATAAAAATGAAATGCTGATATACTTTTGACAGTTGCTATCCTACTATCAACATACTATGACAAACAAAAATCAATAGAAATTAAGTCAAAATCTATCAGTGTATCTAAATCCATAAGGAAGATTGTACTCACTAGCATGTCAATATTAATAAAGTGAAGATTTATCAGTGGTAGAAAGAGAAAAGGACTTATGCTAAGTATGACCCAAAGGAGTTAATAAAGACTTTTTAAAAAACAATGAAGAAGAAGAAAATTCTGTTTTCTCCACACAGGGACTCAAAGAAGGTATTCACATTCATTTAAAGTACAAATTTCGGGGGCAGCTAGGTGGCGCAATGGATAGAGCCCTGGCCCTGAAGTCAGGGGAACCTGAGTTCAAATCCGGCCTCAGACCAAACACTTGACACTTACTAGCTGTGTGACCCTAGGCAAGTCACTTAACCCCAACTGCCTTTAAAACAAAAAAACAAAAACAAAATAAAATACAAATTTCAATGTATGAACAAAAGGAGGGGAATTTTATGAGACAGAAATCTTAGGAAATATCAGAGGTTGTTTGATTCATACTTATCACAGGTTTCAATTAATTTGTCTTTACATCAACAACCATAAACTGTATACAACAACATTAGATTATTTAGTAAGAATTCACTTAGTGCTCACAACATCAAATCAGGATTTTTTATGAAATCATTTTGTCCCTCAGATAGTCATTTACTAGCATTTGACTAAAATGCTATTGTTATTTTTATACTACCTGTGATTTCACTGGCGTAGGGAACTCTAGGGGAGGAAACCAATGGAGACTGGCACTGTCATGTTGAGTTATAATTATGTATAATTAATTACCACGGGAGAAAAAAGTTAAAACATCTTCAAATAAATGTGGTAAATAAGCTCTACAGAACTGAGTTTATAATATGAAACATCAAATAACTGGAAGTGGTGCTAGTTTTAAAGTTATGTCTACATGAAGTCAATGAATCAAATACTCTGGTTAAAAAGTTTGGGGTGGAAAGAGCAGAGATTGCATATCAAGTGTAAAATTTTGTGAAAAAATTCAAATGCTAAACATGTTTTGTTTGATTTAGTAGCTTTGACTCTCAATTATCTGCGGAAACTTGGGTGCTTAAGCTTAACTATTTGACACTTAAACTTACTAAGTTAATATAATTATTTAGACAATCAACAGTTTTTATCCACAAAGCACTGATATTTCAATAGCATTTACATTGTTAGGATTTTTAATATGTTCCAGGCCTCACTCAATCAGGTAGTCAGTCTACGTCAGAAGAAAAAACGAATCAAAATGATTTTGTTGTATTAATGTGACTGAGGACAAATACTTACGGAATCACAGTGATCACAAAATCATTAATTCTGCCTTACTCTGTTCCATATTTCAACATGTTTTGGGCTTATTGTGTAAACACTGCCTAAGTCAGTTATACTATATGCATTACCTCCCAGTAGAATAACACAATTACTCATTTAACTCAATAATGATACTAGCTAACAGTTATAAAGTGCTTTTAAGATTTTCAAAATGTTCTTCTACACATAATATCTCATTTGATCCTCAAAACAACCCTGAGACGTAGGTGCTAATACTACCATTCCCATTTTACAGAGGAGGGAACTGAGACAAAGAAAGTTTAAATGTCTTGCCCAGAGTCACAAAGCCAGTAAGGGTCTGAGGCAGGACTTAAATTCAGCTCTTCCTGACTCTTGCTCCATCATTCTATTATCATTCTATACCTGGCTGCTATAAGCTTATCAAATCAGTGACAATTCCTTTTTAAGAGATAAAAAAAACTAGAACACATGTAAAAATCAGTGTATAAAAATAAGTTTTATGGAAAAATTCAAAAGTAGAAAGAAGTTTCTAAAACTTTACTTCAGTTAATAAGATTATTTTCAAATCTTAAAATACTACTTAAATGCAGGCTATTATTATTAATGGTAATAACAACAATAATAAAAATCACATTCTAATGATTTATTTCTGTCTCTGAATAGAGCATTTTGGGTGACAAATATAAAAAGGAAGACTGGGCACTGTAGGAAGACAAGCTAATTGTAGGTCAATAAGTGATATTATGGGCACACTGGGTATACAGTGTGGCATAAGATATATTTCTGCAAGTGATTTAAGAAATACTTTAATTTTTATTTAGAAGGTATAGCTAGACCAGCAGAACACTTTTTCTTACTATTAGACAGTCTATAAGCATGTTTTCTATTTAAAATTTTCTTTAGAAATTTCACTAATCTTGGAGCTCAAGCAAATACGAACCCACACAAATATCCACACACAATAAATAAGATCTCCTATTAAAATACATTTCTCAGCAGAACACATGACAACTTAAATAGGTCCAATTGATAAATGGTACTTTAATGTATCTTGAAAAAGAACTTACCTTACTATTCCAATAAAGAACATAATCTAATTTCTTTTCAACTTACCAAAATCACACAGCTTCAGGATGTCACTATGGCTGATTAAGAGATTTTCTGGTTTTATATCTGGAATATCAAATTGTTTTAAAAAGGTAAACTACTTTCTATTTTCATCAGATTATTTGTTTATTCATTTTAACTGCTGAATTTTTTAAAAAAGTCAAATAATTTGAATAACAAGCCATGGCAGTAAAAATCAAGGAAACAAATTTCATGCAAAACATGCTAAAATTTCAATTAATTATTATTCAACAAATAGGCAAACTACAAGTTCAGAATACTTTTGTTGGTTACTGCCCCACTTCTCCTCCCTTTAAACAGAGCATGGCAAAAGCCTAATGGAAAATAACAAGTGCTTAGAGAAAAATAAATTTTATGAAATGACTTAATATACATATTTCTAAATTACTACACATTTTTAAAGATGTAAGACAGAGAATGAGAAACTCAATAAAGCGTAAAAAAACATGGAAGAGATATAACAAGGTTTTCACTAAATAAAAATTAACAAGTAAGACTGTTAACAGTTCTTCTTGAAGCTGTAATTTATATACAAAGTAGCAAGTTGGCATGATTCTTCATTATAAACTACAATGCTTTAAGTCATACTAAATGAAGAAAACATCTCTGATTTTTATTCTAAATGTTAAAGAATACAATCTAGGATGATAGAGGAAGAGGCCATTAAAATTGTTTAAATATTCCACCTTAAGAGTCACATTCCTTTTACTTTTCTTTAATCAGTACAATGTTCATTAAAATACTAGAGAAAATATTAGCTAGAGCACATGCTAGAGGTGTGAAAATGTGCATGAGGCACAACGTCCTAAAGGTTGTGATTGCTGGTTTCCATTCACATCCACCATGTAACTGACCTATGAGCTTCCATATCTTCCACACTCTGTATAATGAGATTAAATCAGATGTTTATCAAGATTCTCAAAACCAATGCAAAAGGACAAGATGTTATCAGCAATTAATCATTACAACAGTCACAGAAAGCTCAGATGATCTTGCCAATTTTTCACAGAAGAGAGAACAAATGTGATGAGGAAGACAGAAAAAAACATTTAAGTGTACAACACACTATATCTTCTTATTTCACAACAACCATGATCAATACTCTTCATGTCCTCTACACTTTTTAATTATTTCCCTGGTTTTACTTTTTAACTCCCAATAAATATTAACAGCTAACATTTATATAGCACTTTAAGGTTTGCCAAGCACTTTAAATATATTATCTCATTTGATCCAGTGCTTAGAACAGTGCCTGGCACACAGGAGGCACATAATAAATGGTTGTTGACTTCATTGAACTTGATTGAACATAATAATATCTTATTATATTGGAAGAGTTAAAATAAAAAGTAGTTTAGAAATTTTTCAGAATGAGAAAAAATTAAAAGAATATTTGTGTCCTCTGCTAATTATGCAATCCTGATTCACTGTTGCTTCAATCAATGTCTAGGTCTATCTATCACTGGAGAGTGAGAGGAGATAAGGGGATTGAAAGAAGGCAGACCAGAACAAGTAACTTCCTTTCACTGTCAGTAAGCATCCCTTACAATAGTAAAGGACAAGAAAAACATGATGTCTGAAGGTTCACTACTCTTCCTTGACACTAATGGCCCACGAGCAAACCGGACAATCTTTATTTTAAATGACCTCAGTATAATTATCCAATGTCAGATTCCAAATCCTTAGTGCAAGGCTGAGAGTAGGAGAGGAAGGGAGAAGAGAGATATCAAGTTAGAGGATGTCAGTACAGAAAGAGGAATGATGATAGAGAGGATGTAATAACCTTTCTAAGCCCATTTCCTCATCTGAAAAAATGGATACATAAATACACATAATACCTATCTCACAGGCTCACTGTATGGCTTAAATGATATAATGAATGTTTTGCAAACCTTGGCATGATATAAACACCAGAAACTTTTTGTGTTTGCTTTTCTCTTACTCTTTGCTATATATTAATACATTCAGCATGAGGAGTAAGAACCAATCCAGAGATAATCTCTTCTGTGTTTCTATGATATATTCAAATTTTTTCAACTGCCAAGCATTTTTTTCTGCCTCCCCTTTCCACTTTGGGGGGAAAAAAATAAAAAGATCTTGGACCAAATATGTATAGTCAAGCAAAATAAATTTTCACGACGGCCACACACAAAATCGTGTGTCTTGAGCTATTGTCATTGCTGGTATTGTCAGATGTAAGTGCTGAGAGCTGGACAGATGATTAACAAAAAGCACCTACAGAGTATGAATATGGGTTGGTACCTGGCCCTTGTGCTATTCCCAAGGGCTCTTCAGCATCTTCTTTTGTTCCTTTATTCAGGGCTAGCTTTAAAAATCTTTGTGTGGGGGGTCTTCCCCGACACTAAGAGTTCTCACAGTTGTCAAAGAATCTAATCATTCAGGCATTAAAGTATATATGTCACCACATCAAATCATTTTCTGCATCATAAATATCTAGTGAAGCCAATTTGAAAAACAAAAATTCTCACGTTATTAGTGGGAATGAAAATGTTTGTGCACCACTGCTACAATACTTTTAAGACAAGAGAAATTCAAACATTATGTTGTTAACATCTTTTTGGAATTTCTTCTCTTCAATTATTTCTAGAGATATGTTAAATTTAGAAATTTATACACTCACCTCGATGAACAATATCATTCTTATGGCACCAGTGAATTGCCTTGATTAGCTGGTAGATATAGCTTTTTACTTTTTCAGGTGGAACTCCATTTGGCATTTCTTCCAGCAATTCAAGCATATTCTAAACATTAAGTAGACAGATATTATTAGCTAGTTTCAAAAATTTTATATGAACACTATTAATGAATGTTAATCTATTCACTTCATGACTTTAAAAAAAAATCTTTTTCTAGAAGGCATTTCATACTACATCAAGACTTTGTGTTAAACTATGATTTTCTTGTAAATGATATTCTGCATTCCATTAATCCCTAATGCTAGTCCAAGTACTAACCTTGTGCTCATGTACTTTTCTCTCTTCTATACCTATGAAAATATTTTTTTACTAAAAACCCTAAAGAAACATCTTAACAACATCTCCCATAGAAAAGGGATATAAAGATAAAATATTTTAACATGTGAAGAAATAATATATTGGACATTTGTCATTTCAAAATAATTCCTTATGCATCCTTTTTTAGAATATACTAAAAGCACAGGAATCTTTACAGTTAATATGGAGGGGGGAACCATTCTTTTAAAAATACAAAGACCCCAAAGTCCCCCAAATTAAAAATTAATATGCATATCTGAAAAATTAAGACAGGTCAAAGAAACTATAGTTAAAGAAAAATTAACAAATATCAAATCACTTGAGAAATAAGATAATTACACGCACTAGAAGCAGAGTACTTTCCTGGATTCCTAAAAGCGTTGAGCTTATACTATCACACAGACGGGAAAACAGGCCCCTAAGGAAGTAAACTTACACAGCAGAATGTAATTCTGGTGAGGAAAGGGAATATTTGATTTTTGGCTTGGTATTCCCATCATGAAGTACAGAGCTGGCATATATTAAGCATTTATGTGTTGAATTGTTTAAAGTGATTTAGGTTATTAGTTTCAAATTAGAATGGAACCAAGTTATACCACTTAGATATTGAAACTTAAATACAAAATAAGAAAAGAAAAAAGCATGTATGTATACTGCAGAACATAAGAAAGGATTCAAAATATATGCTAATAAGTTTCCATTTCAAGAAAGCCTATATAATAAATACTACACTTTGTGCTGAGAAATATCTTTTCTTTGCTTCTTTGTAAATTCTCTTTTGTTCTCTGCTGTACACTTTTTACTTTGTTCTTTTTTCTCCCTTCCTCCCCCACCCCACAGAAGGCTACAATTAAGCACGCATATATTTATACATAGCTATAGATATATACATACACATATACATACATATATAGACATATACTTCCCCTAACAAATTCTACTCCTGATCTTTATTTTTTTCCTATTTCCCTCTTGACTCCTCAACTTTACTTCTAACTGCCCTTCCCTCTTATTGATTAACCTACCCTCCTTCCAAAGATCCCTGCCTTACCTTCCCATTCCCATAAATCTAAACACCCTTCTATACTGCCCCTTTAACCTATTCCCTCACCCTCCCCTCTAGAGATCACTCCATTAACCTCTTCCCTCTCCCTATCACCGTAACATTTTATTTCTTTCTGAATTTGGAAGACTTATATTCTTCTAGATATATATGTATTGGTCTCTCTTGAACCTATTCCCAATGAAAGCAGGTTTCCAGAACTAAGAGCCCTCCTGCCCCATCTAATTCCTCTATGTTGGTTCTTCCTCTTGTACCTCATTTGTATGAGATAATAACTCTTTTCAGCTGTTCCTAAATAGTTTTACTTTTTAAAGTCATATCATACCCAGTCTTTCTTAAGAACTACACAATTACTAATAGCAATCTTAGGCATACATTTTACATACATAAAAGGTAAACAGTCTGTCATTATTGAGTCCCTTGTAATTGGTCTCTGATATGTACCTTATATTTCTCTTGACTCTTATATCAAATCTTCTATTACGTTCAGGGTTTTTGTTTTTTTTTAAACAAAGTTCATTAAAAGTCCTTTTTTTTTCATTCAGGACTATGCTTAGTTTTGCTGGGTATGATATTTTCAGCCAGATCCCCACTTCTTTTGCTCTTCCATATATAGTGTTCCAAGACCCGTGGTCTTTTAGGGTTGCTACTGCTAAGTCTTGTGTGATTCTAATTGTGGTACTGCTATATTTAAACTGTTTTTTCTTGTTACTTATAATAATTTATTCTTGAGCTGAGGGTTTTAGAATTTGACTATAATATTACTGTGGATTTTCCTCATGGGATCTCTTTCAGGTGGTGATTTGTGGATTTTTTTCTATTTCTACTTTCCTCTCTTGTTCTAATGCTTCAGGACAATTTTCTTTATTTCTTGTATTATTGGATCAAGATTCTTTTTTTTTTATCATAGCTTTCAGGTAGTCCAATTATTCTTATGTTTTCTCTCTTTGATCTGTTCTCCAGATTGGTTGTTTTTCTTATAAGATGTTTCATTTTCTCTTCTATTTTTTTATTCTTTTATATTTTGTTTTATTTCTTGATCTCTTATAACTTCACTGACTTCCCCTTGCCCAATTCAAGGAGTCATTTTTTTCCTTAAGATTCTGGATCTCCTTTTCTAATTGGTTAACTTTCTTTTCATAATCTTCTTGTTTTTCTTAGATTTTTTTTTTTAAGTTTTTCCTCAATCTCTCTCATTTGATTGCTAAATTCTTTTTAAAGTTCTTCTATGAATTCTTTTTGGGCAGATGACCATTTGATTTTGCTCTCTGGAGTAGAAGAGGGTTTTTTTTTTTTTGCTTCAATATCCACCTCTGAAGATGAACCTTGGTCTTCTCTATTCCCACAGTAACTCTCTATGGTTGAATTTTTTCTTCTTTGCCTGTTATTAGTAGTATTACCATTTTTGTAGCAGAGGATTTTTGTAATCACCTATAGTCCTGGGGTGTGGGGGATAGTACCTCTGGCCTCAGTTATCCTTCCCATCCATTGCTTCTGTACTTATCAGACAAGTGTGCTGGACGCCCCCCCCCCCCCAATTTCCAACATATCTCCACAGAACAGCTGTGTCCGGCCTTCCTCGTCAGCAGAGGTTCCCTCAATCTTCCCGGGCTCAGATGCCCAAGTCCCCTCATTCTCCCAGAGTTTTGTAAAAGTTCCTGTGGCTAGAGGTCAAGGCAGCCTCCCAACCCAGCTAGTACTTGTTTCACCACTAACTTGGGACTAGACTAGCTAACTCTGAGGACAAGATCAGGAATAACGCAGTTAGTAAAAGTAAACTTAAAAATAAACAAGACCTAGTTTCATGTACACTGCTATGGAAGACCAGAATAAGAAGTTAGTTTTCCATAATTTTTTTCCCTTTATTTTTAACATCTTTATTTTCATACAGTGATTAGTAGTTAAATAAAATACTTTAAAATACTCAAGATAGTGTTCTGGCAGCAAGGCAGAAAAGCAGGGAAGTCAATTTGTTAACTCCCTTCTGAAAGCAAAGATGTATAGCAAGAAACATGAGCATAAGACCCCTTCAGGATGCAGTGAGTAGCCCCATTTGGATAGACAACATGACTTATACTCATAGGTGAGGTGGTGCTTGTGGATTAGGATAGACAAGATACATGTGGGCCAGGTTAGAAGGCCCTGAATTGTAAGCTAAGGAATTTGGACTTTACCTTACAAGCAACTGAGAGCCATGTAAGGTTTTGAAAATGGGAAACGACAAAGTTGCAGGATATAAAATAAACCCACGTAAATTATCAGCCATTTCTATATATTGCTAAAAAAAAAAAAAAAAAAGCCCAGCAGTAGAAGATAGTAAGAGAAATTCCATTTAAAGTAATTGTAGACATTATAAAATATTTGGGAGTCTACCTGACAAAACAAACCTGGAACTATATGAACACAATTACAAAACAATCCTCACACAAATAAAGTCAGATCTAAATAACTGGAAAAACATCAGCTGCTCATGGGCAGGCCAACCTAATATTATAAAAATGACAATTTTCTAACTTATTTAGTGCCGTACCAATCAAACTACCAAAAATTATGTAACAGAACTAGAAAAAATAATAACAAAATTCATCTGGAAGAACAAAAGGTCCAGAATATCAAGGGAACTAATGAAAAGAAATGCAAGGGAAGGTGGCCTAGCCATTCCACACCTAAAATCATACTATAAAGAAGCAATCATCAAAATTACTTGGTACTGGCTAAGAAATAGAGTGGTGGATCAGTGGAGTAGGTTAGGTACACAAGACACAAGAGTTAATTACTATAGTAATCTACTATTTAATAAAGCCAAGACTCTAGCTTCTGGGGAAAGAACTCACTATTTGACAGAAACTGCCCAGAAAACTGGAAAACAGTATGGCAGAAACTACCAACGTCTTACACTGTATAACAAGATAAAGTCAAAATGAGTACACGATTTAGACATAAAGGGTGATACTATAAACAAATTAGGAGAGCAAGAAATAGTTTACCTGTCAGATCTATGAAGAACGGAAGAATTCATGACCAAACAAGAGATAGAGAACATTATGAAATGCAAAATGGATAATTTTGATTATAACAAATTAAAAAGTTTTTGTACAAATAAAGCCAAGATTAGAAGGAAAGCAGAAAGCTGAGAAACAATTTTACATCCAGTGTTTCTGATAAAGGCCTCATTTTTAAAGCATATAGAGAACGAAGTCAAATTTATAAGAATACTAGTCATTCCCCAATTGATAAATGGTCAAAGGATATAAACAGGCAGTTTTCAGATGAAGAAATTAAAGCTATCTGTAGTCATATGAAAAAAAGCTCTAAATTACTATTGATTAGAGAAATGCAAATTAAAACAACTCTCAGTTACCCCATCACAGCTACCAGATTGGTTAACATGACAAAACAGGAAAATGATAAATGTTGCAGAAGACGTGGGAAAACTGGAACACTAAGGCATTGTTGGTAGAGTTGTGAATCGATTAGACCATTCTGAAGAGCAATTTGGAACTATGCCAAAACCCTTTGATCCAGCAATACCATTTCTAGTCTGTATCCCAAAGAGATCATAAAAAAGGGGAAAAGACCCACATGTACAAAAATATTTATAGCAGCTCTTTTTGTGGCGGCCACAAATTGGAAATTGAGGAGATGCCCATCAGTTGGGGAATGGCTGAACAAGTTGTGGTACATG